ACTCTCCCAAAAAATTACTTTAAGTAATATGTTTTTATACAGTTTTTTTTTTTTTCAGTTCACAAAATTGAATGTAAAAGTGCATTAAGGTGTCTGAAATAGAATATACTTGTCAAAAATGATTGTTGACAATAATAAATGGATTTCTATAGCTTCCAGAATATGTTTAACTATGGAGGAGTACCAAAATGCCTGCGCAATGGTTTCAAAACAGCGGCCCCCTTGTCAGTCATCTAGGATTAATACATATAATTGGTTCGACCCCATGAGTAATGGAACCAGCCAGCCTCTAACCCTCACTATCAGCTGTGAGTCCATTTTCATTAACAAACTGTATGCAACTGTATGTTTTATCCAATTACTCCTCAAGTTATTCTACAGGCTCATATGACCTACACTTGTTGAACACTCTAGCTGGTTGAATTTTGCCTCTTGGACTTGACCATGATATTGATTGGACATTTGATGTTTTAATGGGCTTACAATGGTTTTCAAACGTGTCGCAGAAGGTTCAGAAAACACCCCAATGAAGGTGACCCCTCTAGATAACCCTTCTAGACCCCTTTAGGGCGGCAGGTAGGCTAGCGGTTAAGAGCGTAGGGCCAAAAGGTTGAAAGGTCGATAACTTAAATGTAGATGTACTGTATAGATCAGGGTCAGAACAAACATGGTGGGTAAATGAAGATGTCTTACTCAGGCAGTTTACCATTGGAAAAAATGGTCAAGGTTCCTGTCTGTGTAATTGGGTGTTCCCTCTCTTGCGTGTGCCAGTGTGGCGGGGGCATAAGTAGACCAGAGTGGCCCCACCCTGACCTAAAAAAAATGAGGTAGTGGGGTGTTTTGCTTTCTCTAATGTCTCTGGTCAGACCTCACTATGTTCTGCTCAACAGAGTTCAGTCCTCCTGCCCAGCTCACCATCAAGTTTGATTATTTGAATCAGCTGTGTAGTGCCAGGGTAAAAACCAAAACATGCACCAAGGGGGTGCCCCAGGACTGAGTTTGGGAAACCCTGCAATAAGGGATCGCTAGCTTCTCATGGTGTGAATAACATACTTGAAAAGCCTTTGAGAAAGATGCAGACATACATTTCCCACACACATCTCTGAATAACTCTCACACTAATGTCAACCACCACTGCATTGATAGGAAAAGGCCCCTATATGGCCGTCAGTGGCCAGTTACAGAGTGCAAGCCAGAACGTGTCAAAACTTCAGTATCCAAAACCACACACTAGTGTAAAAACCATTCACTATAGATGACAAATGTCCAACCTTGACTTTAGTTCTGTTTTTATTTTTTTATTGCAGAGTTCATTAAAGGGATAGTTTACACACATTTGTAAAAATTGATCAGCATTTTGGCACATATCTAGAACCAGTATGGTCAAACATTTCCATATATATAATATATGTTTCATTTTGTTTGGTCTTCCACACCACCTCCAGCAATCAAGTTAAATCCATCATCAACACATAGAAAACCTGCATGATAACACCCAGTGTGTATCTGTAATATAATGCACATAATCAATAAATATATCTTATGTTTGATAATCTGCTTTATTGTGTACTTTATTAATATTGAAAACCAAAACCTTGTTAATGAAAGTAGATAACAACGATACCGTAACTGATCAAAGCATGTGGAGGATGTAATGTTAACAATATAATGTAAATAGTCAATACAAGTATTTATAGAACACTGTATTGTGAAGTGTGGAGTCAAAAAGGCAAAGAAGCTGGAGTAATGTATTGCTTTACATGATGTAAAAATCAGAATTAATAATAACGATTACTTTTCTCCATCAACGTTGTTGTTCTTTGTGTCAAGTGTGACCAGTAGTATGTTGATATGACCTAATTACATTCAGTTCATTCATTCATACAAAGCTGGGTGTTGGTTCTAAGTGACCCTACAGTGATGTCAGTGTTAGAGAAGGAGTATAAAGCACAAACTTTTATTAGATATAGAATTTATCATCTATTATCAGAAAATACCTCAAGACCAAAGTCCACTATCTTTATCAGTCAAAGCTTCCAAAGCAATAGAGGGCAACAGGCTCAGTGAATGTAAAACCCCCCACAGCTTCCTTATTAGTATTAGTGGAGGTGAATTGTAGTGTTCCAATAGTGGAGTTTGGTCACTTGTTCCTTCATGCAGTGATGTAACTCATCAAAACATTTTATCTCAATATTTCTTCCTCATATCAGGTTTTGGTGTTACTGTAGACCGCTTTTATTGAAGCCCTGTCTCCAATGTAGTACTTATTTGTAGGGATATAACTAGTCTGAATCACAGACATTTGTTACATCAGAAGAGATGGTGGCATCTGCTGTTGTCTTTCTTACCATGGCAATACTCTCAGGTGAGACCTTATCTGCTGCACTCAATAAAATACAGCCACACATACGTTAACCCTAAAAGCATCAACATGGGGTCAATTTTGACACCAAGGGGTAAACAATGTCATAATTTCCAAACCCTTTCTTGATCCTTCTGAAATTTTAGGACCATGAATTCTGTGTTAATGTAATATATTCTTGTCCTCTCCCATGACAGTAGGAATTGTTCTTCAATAAATAGCAGGTTCTTTGTCAATAGTAATAGACGTAGTTTCAATGATGTTCATATCCATCTCCAAGGCCATACACATTTAATTAAATGTTTAACGGATTGCTGTCAGACCTTGTACATAGATGGCTTACATTGTAAAGAATCCAATATGTAATTTTGTAATTTGGGTGAACTATCCCTTTCAGGTGGTGACAAATGCTGCTTAATATTTGCTCTCACAAAAGATAGTTATTCCACTAGGCACAGTGGCTACCAAAGTGGCTTCAAAATGTTCTTGATAAAATAATTATTTTATAAGATCGTTAAAGAACTTATTTGAAAACGTTCCACTTATGTCTTTGATTACAGCATTTTGTGTTTGTTTTGGAGACATTATAATCAAACCCTGTTGTCGTTTCCTCAGGATATTGTGCTGGTCTAGAAGTGCTTCCACCTGGACCTGTGAATGGAACATTGGGAGGAAATGTGATTTTCAAAACCACCATCAATCCAACCACACTTGGACATTTGGTGATCCCCCTGTCACCATTGTTGACTTTCTCAGTTCTGAAGGTCCTGTGACCAGAGTGGGATATGTTGGTAGGATCAGTCTGGACAATAGCACTGGATCTCTGGAGCTCAGGAAACTGACCCTGGCTGACAGTGGAGAATACAGAGTGATCATAGGGGAGTCTGATTTTATGCAGTTGGCAGATACTTCACTGAATGTCTATGGTGAGTACACCCTGAGTTCCAAAAGATGTCACTGAATGTTAAATGTGCATTGATATTGTATTGAGTTGTCAACTAATGTGAATTTAACGTACTTCCATCCATAAAAACAATACAAAACAAAAAACACAATGTGCTTGTTGAAATGCAGTTACTCTTTAATGGTGGAGTTACAATTTATTTGATGGATATCTCTTGACACTCTACTACATACATGATCCATGGTCAGAAGCAGACCTAGTGCGAGGGCCATGGGTGTGACCACCAGGGTTGGGGTCAATTCCATTTAGATTCCAGTCAGTTCAAAAAGTGAACCAAACTCCAATTCAAATTTACATTTTTACTAATTGAAAACCATGAAATTAAGTGTACTTCCTGAATTTCCTGGAATTTAAATGGAATTGACCGCAAACCTGGTGACCACCCCAGGGCCCACGTACCTAGGGGCCCCCTGTTCCTGCATATAAACATTTAATAAACGTTTTCAACGATGATGTACCAAAAAACATTATTTGACACTGTAAAACATGGCAAATGTATATGTAGTACAATATATTATATACGATTTCATTAAATCCTGGAATTGGTCTGAGCTGGTGTTGCTTATTTTATAAAGCAATGTACAGCTGTCTGTTGCTGTGCCCCCTTGAGGGCCCCCCTGTCCTGGGACTGGCAGCTGCCTGGGCTGGTGGCTGGCTGCTGCTGGGCAGGACCAGGGTCTTCAAAATGATTATTAATTAATGTATGTATTTATTTAGTATGGTTTGTTAGTTTAAAACTACTAATAGTCAACTTCATACAGCACCAAAACAACATGAAAATTATTTTTCAAGAAAATTATTCTACAATAATGAAAACAGATTGTTTAGCCAAGCCTTTTCAATATTCATAGTGCATTTTTTCAATCATCTCACAGCCAAGAGGCTATAGACCATTTTTAATAGGCAGTTAGCGGGAAAACAACATTCTAATGGGCAACTGATGCCAGCAGTTTCATGTGACAGAGGTGAAAATCTCTGTGAAAAATGCAACAACTATGTTAGAGATGCAACTCTGTTAGAGATGGGAGAACCCTTTGAAGAACCCTTTTTGGTTCCAGGTAGAACCCTTTTGGGTTCCATGTAGAAACCGTTCTACCTGGAACCAAATGGGTTCTACCTGGAACCAAAAAGGGTTATCCTATGGAGACAGCCGTAGAACCCTTTTGGAACACTTTTTCTAAGATTGTAGTATTGTGCCTTTGGCTTCTGGACAACAAAAGAAAAATTACACAAAAAGTTAAAGAACAAGAGACAAATGCTGGTTTCAATTGCATATGAGGAATATTTATAAAATAATTCCCTAAATGTTTCTATAGTCGGATTTTGGCTATAGGCTACTTTGAAGCAAGGTAAGACATGCCTCATAATAGTCTATGAAGTAAAACTCTGTTTTCACACGCGATTGCATGAAGAAATGTTGCACAACTGACTGGGATTATAAGAACACATGATTAATGAGCTGTGAGCTCTCGCTTCGCTCAAACTTGGCTCTGTATGCGGTAGCGCATGTTATAAATAAGTTACATGATGAAATAACCTACTAACAGCCTAATTAGCTTTTATGACGGGGCATCTCAGCTATTAATTTTAAAAGATTTGCTTAGGACCCCTCGAGAGGGCCCTGCCCCAACTGTGCTGGAACTCGAGCTCCACGTCTGTCCATGGTAATGTAACATGAACATAAAACTAACCTGTTTCTCATATTATTTTTTCCAAACCACAATAATTAGTATTATCTCATTTTGTACACTTTTCACTGAAACAGTATCTGGTGCTACTATCACAATTACCCCAAACCTACTAATCATCAAGGGGGGGGGGGGGGGGTCTGTCACCTTAACCTGCGATGCTGCTGACTTCAACATCACCAGAGAGTGGATGAAGGATTGTCAGCCTCTGTCTTCCGGTGACAATATCATCTTCTCTGAGAATAACAGAGTGCTGTCCATAAACCCTGTGAAGAGAACATACAATGGAGAATACCTGTGCAGAGTCAGCAACCCTGTCATCTCTGAAAATGCCAGTGACACAGTGAATGTAATCTGTAAGTACTTCCCTATAAGACTGGGGATAAATGTACCAGATAAATGTACCAACTGTACCATCAACAGGTGCACACAAACTAATAAACCTCTAGCTATGACTAACAGGTGATCTCTGTGTTACAGATGGACCTGATGGTATAGAAATCAAAGGTCCAAATGAAATAGAAGTAGGACAGAAGTTTACATTGACCTGCTCTGTTGACTCAACCCCCCTGCTAGTTACACCTGGATGCACAATGGGACAAAGATACCTGGACATTCACCTGAGTTCACTAAAGAGAAGAGTGAACACTCTGACAGTGGAGATTGATGAAGATTTTTCTGTAAACTATGAGATAAACAAAGTTAATTACAGACATGACAAACATGGAGTCAAAATTATACATGGGTACTCTCTGTTGCTGGGCAGGAACTTGATTGGTTCCTTTCGCTGGGTTTGTGTGTGTGTGAAGTGGGGATCTGACCTCGGGTCGAATTCCTCGCTCTTACCTAATCCATGGCTGTCCTACCTTATCAGAGACTGAAACCAGACTGTTGCCTTGTGCCTCTCTCCTCAAAACAAAGTCCTGAGAGTGGAGCCAAAGTTGAACAGAGTTTAGACTAATCATGAGTAATTACAGCATGACGGTAGGGAAGAGAGGAGTGGGTTTGGGTATGTTTGAAAGATTGAGTGTGGACCTGTCATGTCCAACAATCAATCTTCAGGTCAAGCCAGGGTGAGCCGGGGTTGAACAGAGTTTAATCTGAACATGATTATTTGTGCATGATAAGGGCTTGATTGATGGTACTACTATTGATTCTAAACTGAATAAAAGTCCAATTTAGCCGCTATCATAGACAAAGGAAGTGGGCGGAGCGGTCGAGAGGGGGAAACTGAGGATGGTGGTGGGGGAACCCAAGAGGGAGGGGCTTTAAGATAAGATGTACAGTGAGGGAAAAAAGTATTTGATCCCCTGCTGATTTTGTACGTTTGCCCACTGACAAAGTCATGATTAGTCTATAATTTTAATGGTAGGTTTATTTGAACAGTAAGAGACAGAATAACAACAAAAAAATCCAGAAAGACGCATATCAAAAATGTTATAAATTGATTTGCATTTTAATGAGGGAAATAAGTATTTGACCCCTCTGCAAAACATGATTTAGTACTTGGTGGCAGAACCCTTGTTGGCAATCACAGAGGTCAGATGTTTCTTGTAGTTGGCCACCAGTTTTGCACACATCTCAGGAGGGATTTTGTCCAACTCCTCTTTGCAGATCTTCTCCAAGTCATTAAGGTTTCGAGGCTGACGTTTGGCAACTCAAACCTTCAGCTCCCTCCACAGATTTTCTATGGGATTAAGGTCTGGAGACTGGCTAGGCCACTCCAGGACCTTAATGTGCTTCTTCTTGAGCCACTCCTTTGTTGCCTTGGCCGTGTGTTTTGGGTCATTGTCATGCTGGAATACCCATCCACGACCCATTTTCAATGCCCTGGCTGAGGGAAGGAGGTTCTCACCCAAGATTTGACGGTACATGGCCCCGTCCATCGTCCCTTTGATGCGGTGAAGTTGTCCTGTCCCCTTAGCAGAAAAACACCCCCAAAGCATAATGTTTCCACCTCCATGTTTGACGGTGGGGATGGTGTTCTTGGGGTCATAGGCAGCATTCCTCCTCCTCCAAACACGGCGAGTTGAGTTGATGCCAAAGAGCTCGATTTTGGTCTCATCCGACCACAACACTTTCACCCAGTTCTCCTCTGAATCATTCAGATGTTCATTGGCAAACTTCAGACGGGCCTGTATATGTGCTTTCTTGAGCAGGGGGACCTTGCGGGCACTGCAAGATTTCAGTCCTTCACGGCGTAGGGTGTTACCAATTGTTTTCTTGGTGACTATGGTCCCAGCTGCCTTGAGATCATTGACAAGATCCTCCCGTGTAGTTCTGGGCTGATTCCTCACCGTTCTCATGATCATTGCAACTCCACGAGGTGAGATCTTGCATGGAGCCCCAGGCCGAGGGAGATTGACAGTTATTTTGTGTTTCTTCCATTTGCGAATAATCGCACCAACTGTTGTCACCTTCTCACCAAGCTGCTTGGCGATGGTCTTGTAGCCCATTCCAGCCTTGTGTAGGTCTACAATCTTGTCCCTAACATCCTTGGAGAGCTCTTTGGTCTTGGCCATGGTGGAGAGTTTGGAATCTGATTGATTGATTGCTTCTGTGGACAGGTGTCTTTTATACAGGTAACAAACTGAGATTAGGAGCACTCCCTTTAAGAGTGTGCTCCTAATCTCAGCTCAATACCTGTATAAAAGACACCTGGGATCCAGAAATCTTTCAGATTGAGAGGGGGTCAAATACTTATTTCCCTCATTAAAATGCAAATCAATTTATAAAATTTTTGACATGCGTTTTTCTGGATTTTTTGTTGTTATTCTGTCTCTCACGGTTCAAATAAACCTACCATTAAAATTATAGACTGATCATTTCTTTGTCAGTGGGCAAACGTACAAAATCAGCAGGGGATCAAATACTTTTTTTCCCTCACTGTATGTGAATGTGACTATATAAATGGAGAGCTGGGAGGTAGATGAGAGGTGCTCTGCAGACCAGCTCGGCTTCCGTTACTCTATGTAATAAAGTCTATCTTGATTCTACAAAAACTTTGGAAGAACTTAGATTTTTAATAAGTATAGTGATAATTTTCCACATCAAGATTACACCTGATATCACTGGAATCAAAGGATCTGTGGTCCATAAACTTTCAGAAAAAGGTAAAGTAAGCTTTAAAGACATGACTGGGAATACAGATATGCATCTGTTGGTCACAGATACATTAAAAAAAGTAGGGGCGTGGATCAGAAAAGCAGTGGCCATGCAGAGTGACACATCTCCTTCGCATAAGGTTTATTAGGCTGTTGATTGTGGCTTGTGGAATGTTGTCCCACTCCTCTTCAATGGCTGGGTGAAGTTTCTGGATATTGTCGGGACCTGAAACATGCTGTCATACACGTCGATCCAGAGCATCCCAAACATGCTCAATGAGTGACATGTCTGGAGAGTATGCAGGCCATGGAAGAACTGGGACATTTTCAGCTTCCAGGAATTTTGCTCTGGTGGACATTCCTGCAGTCAGCATGCCAATTGCACACTCCCTCAAAACATGAGACATCTGTGGCAATGTGTTGTGTGACAAAACTGCACATTTTAGAGTGGCCTTCTATTGTCCCCAGCACAAGGTGCACATGTGTAATGATCATGCCGTTTAATCAGCTTCTTGATATGCCACACCTGTCAGGTGGATGGATTATCTTGGCAAAGGAGAAATGCTCACTAACAGGGATGTAAACAAATTTGTGCACAACATTTTAAGAAATTAGCTTTTTGTGCATATGCAACATTTCAGGGATCTTATTGTGTTTTTTAATCCTAATTGAATATTGTGTGCATATATATTACTGTAAATATTGACCACATTCCTTGTGTATATGATCATATATTTTGAGACTTTGAATGTAAATATTGTGAACCTATGTTATATATTTTTACCTCCCTTTTCAGGAAGTAATGTCACTGAGTACTGCCCCTATATATAGTGTAAAGTGTTGGTCAGTATGTAAAGTGTTTGTTCAGTATATACAGTACCAGACACACCTACTCATTCAAGGGTTTTTCTTTATTTTCACTATTTTCTATATTGTAGAATAATAGTGAAGACATCAAAACTATGAAATAACACATATGGAATCATGTAGTAACCAAAAAAGTGTTAAACAAATCAAAATATATTTTAGATTTTAGATTCTTCAAAGTAGCGACCCTTTGCCTTGATGACAGCTTTGCACACTATTGGCATTCTCTCAACCAGCTTCACCTGTAATGCTTTTCCAACAGTCTTGAAGGAGTTCCCACATATGCTTAGCACTTGTTGGCTGCTTTTCCTTCACTCTGCGGTCCAAATCATCCCAAACCATCTCAATTGGGTTGAGGTTGGGTGATTGTGGAGGCCAGGTCATCTGATGCAGCACTCCATCACTCTCCTTCTTGGTCAAATAGCCCTTACACAGCCTGGAGGTGTGTTGGGTCATTGTCGTGTTGAAAAACAAATGATAGTCCCACTAAGCACAAACCAGATGGGATGGCATATCGCTGCAGAATGGTGTGGTAGCCATGCTAGTTAAGTGTGCCTTGAATTCTAAATAAATCACTGACAGTGTCATCAGAAAAGCACCCCCACACCATCACACCTCCTACTCCATGCTTCACGGTGGGAACCACACATGTGGAGATCATCCGTTCACCTACTCTGCGTCTCACAAAAACACGGCGGTTGGAACCAAAAATCTCAAATTTCGACTACAGACCAAAGGACACATTTCCACCGGTCTAATGTCCATTGCTCGTGTTTCTTGGCCCAAGCAGGTCTCTTCTTCTTATTGGTGTCCTTTAGTAGTGGTTTCTTTGCAGGAATTCGACCATGAAGGCCTGATTCACACATTCCCCTCTGAACAGTTGATGTTGAGATGCGTCTGTTACTTGAACTCTGTAAAGCATTTATTTGGGCTGCAATTTCAGGTGCAGTTAACTCTAATGAACTTATCCTCTGCAGCAGAGGTAACTCTGGGTCTTCCATTCCAGTCGCGGTCCTCATGAGAGCCAGTTTCATCAAAGCGCTTGATGGTTGTTGCGACTGCACTTAAAGACACTTTCAAAGTTCTTGAAATTTGTATGTATTGACTGACCTTCATGTCTTAAAGTAATGATGGACTGTCGTTTCTCTTTGCTTATTTGAGCTGTTCTTGCAATAATATGGACATGGTCTTTTACCAAATAGAGCTATCTTCTGTATACCACCCCTAACTTGTCACAACACAACTGATTGGCTCAAACGCATTAAGTAGGAAAGAAATTCCACAAATTAACTTTTAAACAGGCATACCTTTTAATTTAAATGCATTCCAGGTGACTACCTCATGAATCTGGTTGAGAGAATGCCAAGAGTGTGCAAAGCTGTCATCAAGGCAAAGGGAGGCTACTTTGAAGAATCTCAAATATAAAATGTATTTGGATTTGTTTAACACTTTTTTGGTTACTACATGATTCTGTTACGCCCCTGAAAAAGGGGAGAAATAATCACAAGAGTGATACGGTTATGTTTCCTCACTGAGAACTTTAGTGTAAATCATTTTACAAAAGTACCACATTTTACAGAACAACAGATCTACAGGAAATAGATAGTTTTGTAGGGTACAAGGCTTATTCAAGTCACAACAACATACACTGTAATTCACTGAAACATATACTCATTTTCAATATAACTGTCAAGCACAAAGTAGCTTTAGCTCAGTAAACCATAACTACATTTATCAACAATGTCAATAAAGTGTTTGAAACACATTATACAAATAACACCGCAAAATATATTATTAACAGCGTGCATGTTCATTCACAATTAACATAAAATGGCAGCTACTCTAAGTATGAAGCTATTCTTCGCTGCAACCGAGCGGGGCTATGCTCACACATGCACATATTACAATCTGCAAACTTATTTCTAACTTACTCAAGATGTTACTAAAACACACCTTAAACACTCTTGACATGTTAGCAAGTTATTACATTTAAATTAACTCCGTTTTAAATCAATAACGTACCTGAAAAAGGGGAGAAATAATCACGAGAGTGATACGGTTATGTTTCCTCACTGAGAACTTTAGTGTAATGAGGAAAAGACCACGATTTCCCTGAGAACTTGGGTGGAGACCAGAGCAATCGATTTCAGGCTCATAGATTAAGAGCATTTAGTAGATCACAGATTAACACTTTTACCCTTAAATTGAGCAGATGTCAAAGGTCACAGTTCAAATAGAAGCAACAAGTTATATTCACATTCCATATCTGTTGACCAGCTGTATAAACAGTCCATAAGCAGTCTTTTCTCATACTATTGTAAACAGTCCATCAGTTTTAATGATCTATATGCGTAGTCTGCAAATTGTCTCTTGTGACAGTATGTGAAATCAGTCAGTAGTCCATGGTCAAACATGTCAACTCTGTAGCCTCATGTTTGCTGAAGTCCATACATGTAGGGTGGCTGAAGGTAATATCGCTGTAGTGATGGCAGCCATGGAACCAGTCCTGGTGCAGGGTAGACAGGGAACAACTGTGGCTGTGGCTGGATACTGTAGCAGGAAGGGATACCAAGCTGATCATACAGTGAGGGAAAAAAGTATTTGATCCCCTGCTGATTTTGTACGTTTGCCCACTGACAAAGAAATGATCAGTCCATAATTTTAATTGTAGGTTTATTTGAACAGTGAGAGACAGAATAACAACAAAAAAATCCTGAAAAACGCAAAAATGTTATACATTTATTTGCATTTTAATGAGGGGAATAAGTATTTGACCCCTCTACAAAACATGACTTAGTACTTGGTGGCAAAACCCTTGTTGGCAATCACAGAGGTCAGACATTTCTTGTAGTTGGCCACCAGGTTTGCACACATCTCTGGAGGGATTTTGTCCCACTGCCAAAGAGCTCGATTTTGGTCTCATCTGACCACAACACTTTCACCCAGTTCTATCTGCAAAGAGGAGTGGAACAAAATCCCTCCTGAGATGTGTGCAAACCTGGTGGCCAACTACAAGAAACGTCTGACCTCTGTGATTGCCAACAAGGGTTTTGCCACCAAGTACTAAGTCATGTTTTGCAGAGGGGTCAAATACTTATTTCCCTAATTAAAATGCAAATCAATTTATAACATTTTTGACATGCGTTTTTCTGGATTTATTTGTTGTTATTCTGTCTCTCACTGTTCAAATAAACCTACCTTTAAAATTATAGACTGATCATGTCTTTGTCAGTGGGCAAACATACAAAATCAGCAGGGGATCAAATACTTTTTTCCCTCACTGTATATGTGCTTTCTCGAGCAGGGGGACCTTGCGGGCGCTGCAGGATTTCAGTCCTTCACGGTGTAGTGTGTTACCAATTGTTTTCTTGGTGACTATGGTCCCAGCTGCCTTGGGATCATTGACAAGATCCTCCCGTGTAGTTCTGGGCTGATTCCTCACCGTTCTCATGATCATTGCAACTCCACGAGGTGAGATCTTGCATGGAGCCCTAGGCCGAGGGAGATTGACAGTTCTTTTGTGTTTCTCACATTTGCAAATAATCGCACCAACTGTTGTCAGCTTCTCACCAAGCTGCTTGACGATGGTGTTGTAGCCCATTCCAGCCTTGTGTAGGTCTACAATCTTGTCCCTGACATCCTTGGAGAGCTCTTTGGTCTTGGCCATGGTGGAGAGTTTGGAATCTGATTGATTGATTGCTTCTGTGGACAGGTGTCTTTTATACAGGTAACAAGCTGAGATTAGTAGCACTCCCTTTAAGTGTGTGTTCCTAATCTCAGCTCGTTACCTGTATAAAAGACACCTGGGAGCCAGAAATCTTTCTGATTGAGAGGGGGTCAAATACTTATTTCCCTCATAGATATCATCCTGACTAATTTACCCTCTAAATACACATCCGTTGTCTTCAACCAGGATCTCAGCGATCCCTGCCTCATTGCCTGCGTCCGTAATGGGTCCGCGGTCAAACGACCACCCCTCATCACTGTCAAACGCTCCCTAAAACACTTCAGCGAGCAGGCCTTTCTAATTGACCTGGCCCGGGTATCCTGGATGGATATTGACCTCATTCCGTCAGTAGAGGATGCTTGGATGTTCTTTAAAAGTGCTTTCCTCTCCATCTTAAATAAGCATGCCCCATTCAAAAAATTCAGAACTAAGAACAGATATAGCCCCTGGTTCACCCCAGACTTAACTGCCCTTGACCAGCACAAAAACATCCTGTGGCGTACTGCATTAGCATCGAACAGCCCCGCGATATGCACATTTTCAGGGAAGTCAGGAACCAATATACACAATCAGTTAGGAAATCAAAGGCTAGCTTTTTCAAACAGAAATTTGCATCCTGTTGCACTAACTCCCAAAAAAATTTGGACACTGTAAAGTCCATGGAGAATAAGAGCACCTCCTCCCAGCTACCCACTGAACTGAGGCTAGGAATCACTGTCAAAACCACCAATAAATCTACGATAATCGAGAATTTCAATAAGCATTTTGCTACGGCTGGCCATGCTTTCCACCTGGCTACCCCTACCCCGGCCACCAGCTCTGCACCCTCCGCTGCAACTTGCCCATGCCCCCCCCGCTTCTCCTTCACCCAAATTCAGATAGCTGATGTCCTGAAAGAGCTGCAAAATTTGGACCCCTACAAATCAGCTGGGCTAGACAATCTGGACCCTTTCTTTCTAAAATAAGCCGCAGAAATTGTCGCAACCCCTATTACTAGATTGTTTATCCTCTCTTTCGTATTGTCTGAGATCCCCAGAGATTGGAAAGCTGCCGCGGTCATCCCCCTCTTCAAAGGGGGTGACACTCTAGAATCAAACTGTTACAGACCTATATCCATCCTGCCCTGCCTTTCGAAAGTATTTGAAAGCCAAGTTAACAAACAGATCACTGACCATTTCGAATCCCACCGTACCTTCTCCGCTATGCAATCTGGTTTCTGAGCTGGTCATGGGTGCACCTCAGCCACGCTCAAGGTCCTAAACGATATAATAAATGCAATCGATAAAAGACAGTACTGTGCAGCCGTCTTCATCGACCTGGCCAAGGCTTTTGACTCTGTCAATCACCGCATTCTTATTGGCAGACTAAATAGCCTTGGTTTCTCAAATGACTGCCTCGCCTGGTTCACCAACTACTTCTCAGATACAGTTCAATGTGTCAAATCGGAGGGCCTGTTGTCTGGACCTCTGGCAGTCTCTATGGGGGTGCCACAGGGTTCAATTCTCGGCCCGACTCTATTCTCTGTGTATATCAATGATGTCGCTCTTGCTGCTGGTAACTCTCATATCCACCTCTACGCAGACGACACCATTTTGTATACATCTGGCCCTTCATTAGACACTGTGTTAACAAATCTCCAAACGAGATTCAATGCCGTACAACATTCCTTCCGTAGCCTCCAACTGCTCTTAAACGTTAGTAAAACTAAATGCATGCTTTTCAATCGAACGCTGCTTGCACCCGCCCGCTCGACTAGAATCACTACTCTCGGCAGGTCTGACTTAGAATATGTGGACAACTACAAATACCTAGGTGTCTGGTTAGACCATAAACTCTCCTTCCAGACTCACATTAAGCATCTCAAATCCAAAGTTAAATCTAGAATCGGCTTCCTATTTCGCAACAAAGCCTCCTTCACTCATGCTGCTAAACATGCCCTCGTAAAACTGACTATCCTACCGATCCTTGACTTCGGCGATGTCATTTACAAAATAGCTTCCAACACTCTACTCAGCAAATTGGATGTAGTCTATCACAGTGCCATCCGTTTTGTCACCAAAGCCCCATATACTACCCACCATTGTGACCTGTAGGCTCTCATTGGCTGGCCCTCACTACATATTCGTCGCCAAACCCACTGGCTCCAGGTCATCTATAAATCACTTCTAGGCAAATCCCCGCCTTATCATAGCTCATTGGTCACCATAGCAACACCCACCCGTAGTATGCGTTCCAGCAGGTATATCTCACTGGTCATCCCCAAAGCCAACACCTCCTTTGGGCGCCATTCCTTCCAGTTCTCTGCTGCAAATTAATGGAACGAACTGCGAAAATCTCTGAAGCTGGAGACACTTATCTCCCTCACTAACTTTAAGCATAAGTTGTCAGAGCAGCTTACCGATCACTGCACCTGTACACAGCCCATCTGTAATTAGCCCACCCAACTACCTCATCCCCATATTGTTATTTACATTGTTATTTATTTTGCTCATTTGCACCCCAGTATCTCTATTTGCACATCATCTTCTGCACATCTATCACTCCAGTGTTAATACTAAATTGTAATTATTTTGCACTGTGGCCTATTTATTGCCTTACCTCCATAACTTACTACATTTGCACACACTGTATATAGATTTTCTATTGTGTTATTGACTGTACGTTTTGTTTCTTCCATATGTAACTCTGTGTTGTTGTTGTTTTTATCGCACTGCTTGGCTTTATCTTGGCCAGGTCGCAGTTGTAAATGAGAACTTGTTCTCAACTGGCTTACCTGGTTAAATAAAGGTGAAATAAAAAAACTTTAAAAAACTCAGTGTGAACCATTACTTCTGTCCATCTCTTCCAATTCCCAAATATGTTATTTTTATGCGTTGTGCACAAATCTTTTTATTAATGTCAGCATCATTGATGAAGTAAAGGTGTGTTAGGTACATTTTCTAATATACACATTCAGTATCACTCAGAATGAAGACAGTCACGGTCAACTTGTGATGACCTACTTGGCTCCCAAGTTATGATAACTGCTTTATTGAACATTTGTTTGAGATATGGAGCAGTTAGGTCCTGTTGGTTCCAAGTCTATTTGTTATTAATACCACTGTTGAGCTCTTCTGAATGACACTTACAGGTATTTTTAGGTGTTCCATTCTGCTGTGTTGATGAAAATGTGTGATACTGAAGCCAAGCCCTGAATATTGTATGGCTTTGGATGAAATAGGCTACCAAGGAAAGAGAAAGTTGTTATGTTTTTAAATGGGTGGCAGGTAGCCAAGCGGTTAAGAGCGTTGGGCCAGTAACCAAAAGGTGTGCTGGTTTGAATCCCTGAGAAGACTAGGTGAAAAATCTGTCAGTGTGCCCTTGAGCAAAGCACTTAACTGTAGTTGCTCTGGATAAGACTGTCTGCTAAAATGTAACCCCCAGTGCAAATAATCCAACGTCACAATAACTCCCAACAACACAGATTTAGTGGAGTTCAACAGCTCTGTGAGTCTGTCCTGCTCTTCCTCTGGCTCCTCCCCCTTATCTTACCGCTGGCTGAATGGCAGCTCTGAAGTCAAGGCCAGTGATGGAGTTCAGTTTGGTGATGGAGGATGTATTCTCACCATAGTCAGTGTGACCCGGTATGACAAGGTGCTGTTCATGTGTATTGTGTCTAACCACATCAACAGTGACAACTAGACACTAACCCTAACATCAGCTGTGAGTCTCTTACTTTATATCTGCATGTCTACCTCTTCTTAATTATCTGCATTTTGATTGAGCCATTTAGGTCAACGTTGATAATGACCATTCATGTAGTTAATGTAGTCATCTCTTGATTAAGCGCCCTGTAAACGACACCTGCTTAATACTGTAAAACAATTGATTCATGTGTTATTTGTAAAATGGTATTCATTCTGTATTATAGCTGATAAATGGAAGTTAAAGTTCATTTTTTTCAACCTCACCTTCAATCTAACAGTAAAATACGTCAATGGAAAATACCTTCATTCAACCATCATTCTCTAGTGAGTTCCATCATCAACACATAGAAAACCTGCATGATAACACCCAGTGTGGATCAGTAATATAATGCACATAATCATTACATTCATGCTACGTTTGATTGTCTGCTCTATTGTGTACTTTTAGTAAAAAAATAACATGTTCATAAAAAGTAGATAACACAATACTGTAACTTAATACATTAAAGCATAATGATAAGGGTGTCCTCTTTTGGTAGTGGTGGGGACTGTACTGTAAATACACTTTTTGGTGTACTGTATTGTCAATTATGGTGCAAAAAGGCACGGAAGCTGGATACTTAAATGCTTTAAATGATGTAAAAACAGAATAATAAAGATTGACATCTATTTCTCCATCAACTTTGTTGTTCATTGTGTCAAGTGTGAGTTGAATATGTTGATATGACCTGATGACATTCAGTTAATTCATTCCTACAAAGCTGGGTGATAGTTCTAAAAGATCCTACAGTGATGTCAGTGTTAGAGAAGGATTATTAAGCACAGATGATTATTATATATAATATACAGTGGGGGGAAAAAGTATTTAGTCAGCCACCAATTGTGCAAGTTCTCCCACTTAAAAAGATGAGAGAGGCCTGTAATTTTCATCATAGGTACACGTCAACTATGACAGACAAATTGAGAATTTTTTTTCCAGAAAATCACATTGTAGGATTTTTTATGAATTTATTTGCAAATTATGGTGGAAAATAAGTATTTGGTCACCTACAAACAAGCAAGATTTCTGGCTCTCACAGACCCGTAACTTCTTCTTTAAGAGGCTCCTCTGTCCTCCACTCGTTACCTGTATTAATGGCACCTGTTTGAACTTGTTATCAGTATAAAAGACACCTGTCCACAACCTCAAACAGTCACACTCCAAACTCCACTATGGCCAAGACCAAAGAGCTGTCAAAGGACACCAGAAACAAAATTGTAGACCTGCACCAGGCTGGGAAGACTGAATCTGCAATAGGTAAGCAGCTTGGTTTGAAGAAATCAACTGTGGGAGCAATTATTAGGAAATGGAAGACATACAAGACCACTGATAATCTCCCTCGATCTGGGGCTCCACGCAAGATCTCACCCCGTGGGGTCAAAATGATCACAAGAACGGTGAGCAAAAATCCCAGAACCACACGGGGGGACCTAGTGGATTACCTGTAGAGAGCTGGGACCAAAGTAACAAAGCCTACCATCAGTAACACACTACGCCGCCAGGGACTCAAATCCTGCAGTGCCAGACGTGTCCCCCTGTTTAAGCCAGTACATGTCCATGCCCGTCTGAAGTTTGCTATAGTGCATATGGATGATCCAGAAGAGGATTGGGAGAATGTCATATGGTCAGATGAAACCAAAATATAACTTTTTGGTAAAAACTCAACTCGTCGTGTTTGGAGGACAAAGAATGCTGAGTTGCATCCAAAGAACACCATACCTACTGTGAAGCATGGGGGTGGAAAAATCATGCTTTGGGGCTGTTTTTCTGCAAAGGGACCATGACGACTGATCCGTGTAAAGGAAAGAATGAATGGGGCCATGTATCGTGAGATTTTGAGTGAAAACCTCCTTCCATCAGCAAGGGCATTGAAGATGAAACGTGGCTGGGTCTTTCAGCATGACAATGATCCCAAACACACCGCCCGGGCAACGAAGGAGTGGCTTCGTAAGAAGCATTTCAAGGTCCTGGAGTGGCCTAGCCAGTCTCCAGATCTCAACCCCATAGAAAATCTTTGGAGGGAGTTTGAAAGTCCGTGTTGCCCAGCGACAGCCCCAAAACATCACTGCTCTAGAGGAGATCTGCATGGAGGAATGGGCCAAAATACCAGCAACAGTGTGTGAAAACCTTGTGAAGACTTACAGAAAACGTTTGACCTGTGTCATTGCCAACAAAGGGTATATAACAAAGTCTTGAGAAACTTTTGTTATTGACCAAATACTTATTTTCCACCATAATTTGCAAATAAATTCATTAAAAATCCTACAATGTGATTTTCTGGAGAAAAAAAATCTCATTTTGTCTGTCATAGTTGACGTGTATCTATGATGAAACTTACAGGCCTCTCTCATCTTTTTAAGTGGGAGAACTTGCACAATTGATGGCTGACTAAATACTTTTTTTCCCCACTGTATAATCTCAAATGAATGTAAATTGTGCTTCATTTACTATCGGAAAATATCCCAAGACCAAAGTCCACTATGTTTATCAGTCAAAGCCTGCAAACCAATAGAGGGCAACATTGTTGAACAGGCTCAATGAATGTAAAACCAGACACAGCTTCCTTATTAGTGGTTTTGGAGGTGGAGTTTGTGCTGCAAATGGGGAAGTTTGGTCATTTATTCCTTTTTGCAGTGATGAATACATTTAATATTTCTTCCTCATAACAGGTTTTGGTGTTACTGTAAAGCGCTCTTATTTCAGCCTTGTCTTCTATATTTATTGTGGAGACAGACCAAAAATGGATGTAGAAACCTTAGATTGCCCGTTTTAAGAGGGATAATTGATCTAAAAAAGGAGAAGTACGCAGAGAAAAGTGCAATGGATATAAATAAATTGTTATTCAGTTGTGGATCACTTTTATAGAGCTATCTTTATAAAAAATAAATAAACATTTTCAGTATTCTTCAATATTCACAAATGTACCTTATGAATGGCATTGATATCTCTTCACCTTTGTATGACGCCTGATATTAGTGACATTCCCATAAGTATTTGTCAATCAAGTATATTTTGTGGTAGAAGATGTAGGCTCTGTTTTCACATTGATTAAAACTGGTCACAAAGATTGGTTTTATTTCAAAAGCACTGTAAACTGTCAAATCACTGTAATACTATGTTCTTATAATTTTATAAACAGCAACCTTTCAATGTTTATTTCTTGTTTTAAACAGAAACAATAGTGAAACAACAGTTTCCACAAAGAAATGACATGGATTCAGACAAATTACATGATATAGTACAACACACCTATGACTTAATAATGTAACCACTAATGCTTAATACTGTAACAATGCTTATGCAAACAAACGCAGACAAGATACTGTAGCATCATCTATACAACCCCTACTATTCGTGAATCTCTTATAGGCTCACAACAACCTGTATATGAGAACACAAGACAAAATCAATCTCCAAATCTACCCCTGACAGTAAGTAAGCCCTGGTCACTTGGGATGTCTCTGCATGTCTGTATTCTACTACAGTCGTACTGTAATAAACAAGATCAATTTGCTCAACAAGATGTACAGTGTGAAAAAGGTATGTATGCAAAGTTTGCCTATGAAAGTGTTATCCAGGAAGTTTTAGTTTCGACTCAATGACAGCTATTCAGTCTCTGGCCTATGTAGGTTATTCATTAACATATGATCGCTGTAAAATTTTGTTTAGGACTTTGAGGTTTCATATTTTGTCATGGTAACTGTTGGTGTGGCTGTTGACTTCTATGTAATGCCTTTTTTAATTTAAGCTTTATCCCAAATTATAAAGTGCATGACTTCTAGAGTACCTATGATACTAGAATAATAGGAAGTTTGTGCTAAACCACATGGCACCATGTGACTGTAATACTGTAAAAAACAATAGATATATGTGTTATTTGTTAAATGGTATTCATGCCCTATTATAGCTGATAAATGGAAGTTAAAGTTCCTTTCTTTTCTCCCTTATCTTCAATCTAACAGTAAAATAAGTCAATGGAAAATACCATTCAACCATCATTCTCTAGTGAGTTCCATCATCAACACATAGAAAACCTGCATGATAAAACCCAGTGTGGATCTGTAATATAATGTGAATAATCAATACATTCATGCTATGTTTGATTGTCTGCTTTATTGTGTACTTTTAGTAACAAAATAACATGCTAATAAAAAGTAGATAATACAATACTGTAACATCAAAAATGTAAGCTTAATGATAAGGGTCACCTCTGGTGGTAGTGGTGGAGACTGTACTGTAAATAGTAAATTAACGTGTTTTTTGTGTACTGTATTGTCAATTATAGTGCAAAAAGGCACAGAAGCTGTATACTTAAATGTTTTAAATTATGTAAAAACTGAATAATAAACATTTACATCTATTTCTCCATCAAATTTGTTGTTCTTTGTGTCAAGTGTGACAAGTAATATGTTGATGTGACCTAATGACATTCAGTTAATTCATTCCTACAAAGCTGGGTGATGGTTCCAAAATATGTTAGTGTTAGAGAAGGATTATAAAGCACAGATGTTTATTATATATAATATATAATCTCAAATGAATGTAAATTGTGCTTCAATTACTATCGGAAAATACCCCAAGACCAAAGTCCACTATGTTTATCAGTCAAAGCCTGCAATGCAATAGAGGGCAACATTGTTGAACAGGCTCAGTGAAGGTAAAACCCGACAGCTTCCTTATTAGTGGTTGTGGAGGTGGAGTTTGTGCAGCAAATAGGGAAGATTGGTCATTTATTCCTTTTTGCAGTGATGAATACATTTAATATTTCTTCCTCATATCAGGTTTTGGTGTTACTGTAAAGCACTCTTATTGTAGCCTTGTCTTCTATACTTATTGTGGAGACAGACCTTCAGTCTGAATCACAGACATTTAAAAAATCAGAAGATATGGAACACGCTGCAGTAATTTCTCTCACCATTGCAATACTCTAAGGACCGATTTAAAGGGGCAATCAG